AAAATCGATTGCAATGCAAACGACCAGTAAAATGTCGATGTAGGACTTAGTGACAATTTGACGGTAATTAAACAATAATGTCAACAATGGCCTTGAATTTTGTAGATGAAGCAATACTTTGCGTAATTTTTACAATTAATTTATATTTGATATGTGAAGGGTTAGTGGTAAAATCTGATCTATTATCAAAATCATTGACGTTAATGTCTTGAAAACTTCCTATAACACACGATACACAGGAAACTTTTCAGTGACATTGGTTACGATAATCTCTGTCGTTTAATGTCAAACACCCTTGTAAAGAATAAAAGTTACGTTATTTTTAATGATTGTAACAAAAATATAATAAATTATTGAGAAATTGGCTGCTTAAAGAGCTCTTAAGATATAAAAAGACTATGCAAAGAAAAATCATAGTGAAATGATTAGAAACAAAGTTATTTCGCGATGATTATTTTATCAGGAAAGCTTCGTGATTTATGACCTTCTCTTTGAATTTGCTAAATACCATTGACTTCCCTATTGATCATCAACTGATTAATTAGCTAAACAAAAGTAATCACTGAGCTTTCTTATTGTTTAAATCCTTTGTCTTCTTTGATTTTAAACAGTGACTCCTTCTTCTTTACGGTTTCTGATTATCCGGCGTTGTAAAGCATTTTTGAGACACCATTAACATTTACAAATGAGCACTTCTCAAATAGTTAGGGGCCAAATGCCAGTTAAAAGGGTCATGTACGTCATCAGGGGTGGTGTCCTTAGGCACAATTAGGAAAAGGTCGCATCTGGCATCAATTTAAATTGAATAATGATAGTCAATAATTCTAGTTTAGTGGTATAGCTAGCCAGTAAACTCGATTATTTTCATCAAATTCGAAAGGGTAGGGCTCCGACTGCCAAAGTGATTAATAACCTTAAGTTAACAATGAAAGTCTAATATACAATTCTGCAAACTTAGACAGCTATTAATGATGAAAATTTCTGCTCTTCTTTTGATTCTATAGTTACCCTTTAATCACAATTAGGAAGCTTTTCACGCAAGAAAGGCTGAGTCATTATGTGGCTCGAGCCTATTGAAATCGTAATGAGATAGTAACAGGAATGAGGTTGTAACGATCGCATTACTTTAACTGACATATTAAACTCTGATAAGACATATTCCCTACTTCCGTCATCAACTCAGTTGTTAACATACACCAGCGACGTGTTAAGTACTGATGAGACATATTGATTTGTGAACAGAAACTTTAACGATATATTATCACGGCTTTGTCTAATAGTTTGACAGTACCACCTTTCGATCATGAACAAGCTTCAGCCAAGCGATAACGCTCAGCTCACAAAACATTATAAACCATATAGGGCTAGTCAGGAACGAATGAATAATTGTTGAGTATAAATATGACTTCCCTTATGACATCCTAGTGCTCAAGTTCTGGCATGATGAAAAGTAGGGGATTGTCATCCTGAATATTGCGTAATGATTACTGAATTTAAAAATACCACAGTTCCAAAAGAGCACCATACTGTACGGCTTTTCAGCTTCCCCTAAAAGTAGCCAGTCTTTGTGCGTGCTGTTAGGTGAGATGGGTTGGGGGGAAGGGATCGCCATTTGATGTGATGCCTATTCATTCGTGAACTTTTTAGAGTTTGAAAGACCAAAGAGATGGATTATGGAGTCACTTTTCATTTTCCCCTAAAAGTTACCTGACCTAGTGCATGTCAGTAGGCAAAGTATTGGGTGAATCACGATCCTGATTAGGGAAAAAAGTGATTTCTGGCTTTTTAGAAGACGACAGGCCGAAACATATTTGATATCAGGTCACCTGCTGCTACTTTAGCGGCGTATTAAGATGGAAATACGAAACTTTCAACCCATTTTCCGTATGGACGTTATGCTGGTTGAAAGGACATCGGCAGGGTTGTGCTGTACAACAAGCTGACGAACTTGAAAGGCTCACTGAGGACACAGGGTTTAGGTAAATGGTAAGCTAACCTAATGCACGTATTGTGGAATTTGAATAGTAGGTTGATTGTGACTCTAATTAGTGCGTAATGTTTTCCTAATTTTCAGCATAATAATGGCACAACTTTGGCTTTCTTGGGTTCCTTTTCAATTGCACCTCAATGTACCCTAACATAATGCATGCATTTGGCATTTTGAGTAGTGAGTGGGGTGTATTATGATTTTAATTAGTTTAAAATTATCTTAGAAGCTTAAGTAAGAGAATAGTTCCATCTACGAACTCTTTTTCCGGCACTTTACATTTGCCTTCATCTAAATCATGCATTCTGAAAAGTGATCGCATTTCGACTCTTAACTTGTGCATGATGTACCTTGACATTTGAGTATGAAATACGCATATCGCTTTCGGTTCTTGTTTTTCTTCTGTTTTCAAGTGTTTACCTTTATCGTTCTCTATGCTTTCTCAGCCTTAGCTATTACTAATT